AAATCCCCATTGACCATCGTGACACGTGGTCGTGGCAGTAGAGCTCCCTGCCACAGGCTGTTGACCCCATCAGATGTCCCAGGACTGAGAGCAATGGGAACTTCTGGACCATATTTGCCTCTAACTTTTTGTTGCAACAGGTCACCAGCATGTTACCTTGCTCACGGGTAATATATGACACTGCACTTGAACCTGACTGGAGCACAGATTTCCATGGCGTAACACACAAAGAGTAAACAGGCACACTCTGTTTTCAAAACCTTCAGAAGAGGCAGCTCCTATGGACAATGTCTCTTTATTTTCCACATACCAGTCTCCCCTCATTTTCATGCTGCTATTGTACTTTTCTCTTCCCTTATGCACCCCCACTAAAAAAAAATGATAATGAGGGTCTATATGGGTAATGTGTCATTCCTTTAAAATTTATCAGATCTGAGGTTAAAAAAAAAAAAAAAGAAGCTTTTTTTCCCCTACTAAAAGGGGATTTTTATATCCAAAGACACAAAGGTAATACTCACTGCATTGCAGCTTCAATCTCTCTCTTTTTTTTTTTTTTTTTTTTTTACCCAACAATGGTGAAAAGATGTGATTTTTTTACAAGCAAATAGGAAGAAAAAGCCTGAACACACCCTGGGAACATGTTTAAGAAGTTGATTTATGTTTCATGCTGAGCCTTACACCTGCAGTTCAAGCAAAACTCAACTTTGCCGCCCCACAGAGTCTAGTTTATTAGGTATCAAGGAGTCACAAGAAGCCATGTAATTAAAACTGTAATTAACTGGAAAAGGAAAAGTGCCACCTGAGTTTTGAGAGGCTGTCAATTTTATTTCCATTACAGCTCTCCTTCTGCTTCTTTTGTCTATAGGGTGGGGTTTTTTTCCCCATCTTGATAAGAAAAAACAAAGTGTTTTTTTTTTAATTCTTTTTATTAACTAAAGAAGCCACCAAATTCTCTCATGTCTTTACTCTTGGGAAAAAAATCACTTAGTTTTTTGCTCAGACATGGGTTTCTCACAGTGGCATTTGCAGCCGTGTTTGCCAACAGGTGTCATGTGGTCCAGGCAGAAAAAAAGCCCTGAAATATCCTACTGGCGATGGGTCAATCAATGCTCTTTAAAAAGGGATTCGGTGGCGCCTTGTTAAGATCCATGACCTTGCTGCAGTGGCGCGCTGAGCGCTGGGCGTCCTCATATCTGACAGGTCCCTCCAAAGGCTGCTGTATCCTGCTGGAGACCACCGTGGTATTGCTGCGAGCAGGACAAGGCCACACGCAGCAAGACAAAAAATACGCCTGGGAGAAATACGAGGTGATGTGATGAACCTTGTCAATCAGAGACGTTAAAAGCAAAAAGGGGCCCAATCCCCTAGCCAAAAAGATAAATGTCCCCAAAAATTTGGGTGGGGACATGCTGCCAGCCCTGTCCTCCCTCTACCTCATGCATCCACCGGGAGAAAATTCTCAGGGGATCAGAAAGAGGTGCCAGATTAAATGTACAATTATTTAATAAGGTTTAAAGAGGCAAAGACTTAGGTAAACTTTACACAGGAAATAAAGTCATAGTAAAATACAGTTAAAGAGTAATTACCTAAAAGGGTAAAAAGACAAGAACAAAGATAGGATCTATCTTAGAGGTCTTTACAAGGGAATATATAGAAATTTTTGTAGAGGACATGTTTGTCTCAGACCGGTGTATGAAAGGGGGATTGACATTCTTCCTTCTCCATTTAATAGTTAACAAAACCCCATCAGGTGAAGTACCAGCCTTGAGAGGAGAAGTTATTATCGTAAAAAACAATTTTCCTTTGGTGCTGTTCTGACAGACTTTGCATTTTTTTTCCCCCAGCCTTATATTTGTAGCCTCTCCCCTCATGAAATAGCCCCAGCTTGCAAGGCATAGGTTTCAGGACCCTCCAGGTTTGAAGGCAGATCTCAATCAGTGTTAATTTGGGGAAGTGAGCCGGAGGTACCTGCAGCAGATGACATGCAGGGCTCAGCTTCTTATTCAGCTACAAGTCAGCAGGGGCACCCCCTGACCATCTGTGGTCTATAAATTACAGTAACACCGGCACACACTGCTTGTAAATCACCAATGAACAGGCTTTGCCTTATGACACACTACATGAACCCTGTTGGATATTCCAATAAACTCCCATAAACCATCCGATATAAACTCTGGATTATGTTTCTTTGGGAGGTAGGAGAAAAACATGGACTTTTCTGCACTTGCACAAACTTCTTATGAGTGAAATGAAGATGTGGCCTTAGCTGTGTTGTGTGCTTACATGCCATGTTTCTTTATGAAAGATTTCCCACTCTCCGTCATCATTGGGACCATATATATTTCACTTTCCAAGAGTGCATCAACCTTGAGGTAAACAGGGGCATTGCTCTCCTGAAAAAAAAAAAAAAAAAGAGACCACTCATTTGAAAAATGCTATCTAACATAAGCCTCCATGACCTGTCCCCCATCCTTGCTGCACCAAGCACAGGCTGATAAGGTGGGGGGAGAGGCTCACCCGTGCCCTTTGCTTTTGGAGAAGCAAGAAGACCCAACCCATAACGTCAACCCAACCATACCCTCTACAAAGCAAAAAAATACACCACTATTTCTGGCCATCTCTGCATCCTGAGGGCTAGAAATGAGGCTTGCTATCTTTAGGAGAGCAGATCATCCTGTAATAGCTCCTCACTTGCCTCTTTCTCCCTGTGAAGTGGTTCTTTATCTCCAGTGTGGTACAGGGTGGAAGGCTCTATGGTCTGACACACTATCAAACCTCCCCAGGAGATGAACTCTTACCACGCAACTTGATTTGGATAGCTCTTACCTGCTGTGATGCTTCATGGAGGTCATGTCTGCAAGGAACTGCTATGAGCAGAAGACTCAGCACATGGCCATGGGCTCCTCAGTATGTGGCTGACTGGGGTACAGACACTGCTCCTCTGAGAAACCTGGTACTTGATTCAAACTTTCTCTTGAGACCTGTCAAATGACTGCTTTTGATAATTATATTAGTAAGCCCTGTGTGTAGCCTGTCATCTGGGGAAAAAAAATAACCCAACCTGTAAAATGAGTTATTCAGATTGTGGGGGATATGCCAAGTAAACAATCTGATAAATGGTATTTGACCAGCTTTTTTGCTGACCATAAACAAATGTGGACTGTCACACAGACAGCCAGTAATGGCTGTGTCATGATTCCTTGGCAAGTTCCTTAATCAAATCTGAAATCCCGATTCGTCTCAGAAGGTGGTGGGAGCCTAGCAGTCATCTTACTCATGTGTAGCATAAGCTTCCTAAAGCAACATTATTTTTATCTGGGTTTCTTAAGGATATAGGGGCTGGCTTCTCATCACGCTCTGCGTGGATGTATGGGTGTGTGGGCGCACGCCTGCTTCAACATATGCTTTTAAACCCATTGGGTGACTGCAGTCAAACTGGACAGATGTTCCCACCCCATGGAGACAGGGAACCAAGGCAACCATGGCTACCTCCCATGATGACAATGAGATGAACTCAACTGTCTGTAGACATCACAGAATCCACATCTGCAAGAGCAATCCATGGGAAAATACCCTCCCCTGATCCCTCCAGTCATGAGCATTCAGTTAATTACTACTCATTAATATTGCTCTTTTAAAAAAATTATTATTACAGCACAGCTTCCAGGTTCCAGCCAAAATTGATGCTTCCTTGCCTAAGAGATACACACCAAAAACCATCTAGTCTAATGAGAAAAAACAAGGTAAAAGCAGTGAGTATGTTCTCTGGAGACACCAGGACCACAAGCGTTGCATGATCCAAATGTTACCCAGAAAGACTGCACCTGACTGAAACACTTTGAACGGTCTCAGCAGCAATTTTTGACTCAACAGAAATGCACATTCAAAGTATTTATTGAATCTAGGTTGAGCCTGTCTAGTTAGTTTAGTTTCAGGAGAAAATAGTGAATAAAATAAAGTTGATATTTGAATCTGTTTTACTCAGGAAAAAAAAAAACCCAACTATTTGAATGTTACTTTAAATTTTTCAGGGGGGGGGGGGGGGAAATTCAGC